ACTTCACTTCAGACAGATTCGATCTCAATCTTGGCTCTGCTCTTAACAGCTGTGTGACCTTGGGCAGGTTGCTCAACTTCTCTGAGCCTTAGTCCCTGCATCTGAGAAATGGGGAAAATCATAGAACTTAACTTATAAGGATGCTGAGAGGACTGCATGGCATACCGTGCCTGTCCGGCAAAGTGCTTAAAAAGGGAGTAATTATTCTGACATCCAAGTGCTGGTGGGAAATCAACGCCAGGTCTGCTCTAGTGAAGAGTAAAATTTTGAAAGGGGAGAGTCAGAAACACTGGGGGCTTTGTGATTTGGAGGAAACTGGCCAGATTGCCAACAGAGCTCAAAATGACTGTGTGAAAAGCTCCCATCAGTTCCTGTTGTATCAGACCGTGCGTCTTCAACTGCTCAGCTCTGGAAAGCTGCCTCCTGGCCTCTTGGCACTCCAGGAAAGCCCTCTGCTGAGATGCTGGAAGGCGGCTCCTCACAGGAGCACTAGCCCTGAGCCAGGAAACAGTCCACTGCACTTAGATGAGGCTCGGAGAGTTTGGCAATGTTCAGGATTCGTTTTGCCACGGTGGAGCCAAAGCCCGCTTATGAAAAGTGGCTATATTTTTTTAAAAAATTAAATAATCCTTTGAAAATGCAGGCGGAGCAGTGGGTAGTGATGGAGGAGGAGCTGGGGCAGGCCCTGCTGGAGTTTGTAGCGTTGTTGGGGAGGGGTCCCGTGGGGCATTCTGGGTGACTGCATCTGAGGCTGCGGGGAGAGCTGCAGGCTGGGGATCGAGTGGCGCAGTCGTTGGATTAGCCGTGATCTTGGAAGCCAAGAGATGGTGCCCAACGCAGGCAAGGAGAGAGAGGAAGGCCGTGGGCCTGGGATGGAACCTCAGGGAGCAGCAACGTCTTTAAGGGGTGGGTAAAAGTGTGAGAAGGGGACACAGAAGACAGTGTTGGCGGGCTATGAGGAGACCGGGAGAGGGCAGGGCCATGGATGCTAAGGGAGGAGCGAGTTTTACAAAATGGGGCATTTGAACCATGTTGAATATGGCAGAAAGGGAGAGGAAGGGGATCAAAGTGTTCACTGGCAAAACGGATGTCAAAGAAGGACTTTGTGGGAGCGGTTTCTGCGGAGTTGGAAGACAGCAAGTGACAGTGTCGGCTGAGGAGTGGGCGGGGATGGTGGGAACAGACCGGGCTTTTAAGAAGCTTGATGGAGAAGAGTGCAGGCGGTGGGGGCAACTGGGACATGCGGGGTGCACACGGGAGCTGCGCAGAGACTGGTGGAAGGGGGACTGACCCAAGGGCCCTCGTGGAGCTGGCCGCTCTGTGGGGCAGAGACACACTTGCGTGGTCTCCCCAGTGGACTAGTCGCCATGGTGACAGTGATGTGGTCCACTGTCCTGAGGCAGGAGATGATATTGCTACCTGTGCATCCTGAGATGGCAGGGCCACTTGAACTTAATTAGTCTGTTCGGATAACAAATGTTGATCCTGGCTGCAGCATCCAGAGTGACATCCTAACTGAGGGTGAGACACAGCCCATCAGAAGGGGATGGAAAGGAAAGGTGAGGCCACTCCATCAGTGCTCCCTTGTGCTCGGGCCACCTGTGTTCCAGTTCAGAGCCACATCCATTACGCTGGAGGCCCACACACTCATCCATCAGGCCAGCCAACATCCCCACCGTCCCCGGGCCACCTCCACTGCCGCCGCCCCCCACCGCTGGGGCTGCCAGCCCCACGCAACTGTATTATTGTGGGCAATTTCAAATGAGTGCCTAGCATCCATGCAGCCATTTCACTTTGCTTTTCTGCAGTCCGCTCCACCGAGCCAGTGCCGCAGCCAGCTGCAACAAAGCGAGCCGTGCCCTCGCGGAGGCCCTATTGTGATGTGGGGAAGGCTCCTGTGAGATGAGGTAACGGCGGGTAATGGTGCAGAAAATGCAGCCGCAGACGGTGGCGCCTCATTCTTTACCGCCTTCGCCTCTGCACAAACAACGGACCCACCGCGTTGGAGCCGCAGACGGTGGAGAGGACAGCTCTGCTCCCTGGAGGCGGAGAAGGGAAGGGGCACCATCCAGGCATCCGCCTGGGTTGGGGGTCTGTTTGTAAGAGTGTTGGGGATGGGCTTAGTAGGACCCTGGGTCTTCCTGAGAGTCTAGCCCTGAAAGGGCTTCTTGAGGGTGTTGAGGACGACGGGAGGGGACAGTGTGTGGTCAGGATTGTGGGGACTCCGGAGCTGTGCCTCTTTGGCTCTAAGACCCGCGGGCCCACGGGCAGTCCTCAGGATGTGGTTTAGCGTAGCCTGGGGGGTGGAGAGGGGTGGACGCGGGCGTAGTTGAAGCACGCGGGAGGGCAGACTGGGAAGCCAGTGGCTGGCACTCGGTGTCGTCTACCTGAGAGCAGCATCCAGTTGGAGAGCAGGGCTCAGCCTCTGCATTCGGACGGATGGAATCGTTTCTGAGTTCCAGGGCCACCTCTAACCAGTTGTGCGCCCTCTCGGATGGAGCCTTTGTCCTCTTCTGCAAATCCGTGGGAGGCTGCCCCCCTCCCAGGGTTGCTGGGTGCTTCCCTGACATATGCATGGTACTCCCAGGGCCTCCGCTTCCTGTCCTAGGCGTGGGGACCGGGTCTCTGCTTTGGGGGTGCTGTTGGTGTCGGGGCTGTGGGCAGTGGGCACAGCAGCCTCCTGGTTTTTCTGCAGGTGGAATTTTTCCCCGTGTCTCAATGCCTTTGGGACAGATGCTGGGGCAGGTGGTAGATGCTCTGCTGGGTTCCCAGGTGGCCGAGCGATGCACTGAGAAGCCACTGGTGACGCCTCCCGGATTCCTCTCCTCTGCGACGCAGCTGCTGCCCTTGCTGTTGGCCGGTCACCTTCAGAACGCGGATGGCCAGTGCTCGTGGCCGCCCCAGGCCCTGCTGGCTGAGGGACTCGGGTAAGGGAGGAGTCAGAGGCTGGGGGCTGGGAAGGAGAGCAGAGCTGGCCCAGCCCTGGCCCCAGAGGCCCAGGAAGGCACAGGAACCCTGCAGCCCTGCTCTCCGGGGGGGCAGGCCCAGGAGGTGGGGTGAGCAGGGACCCGTGGCCTGTGTGCAGCTGGAGGATGCCCATGCCGTGGTTCCCCGTACTCCGCTCTCCCAAAGTCGGGGTGTTGGAGCTGGGTCCCGGCCTGCTGGTCGGAGGGCGCACGCCTCTTGCAGCTCTGTCTGGACCGGGACGGCTCAGGCCCCCAGCTGGCCTTGTGGATGTTCAGGGACCAGGAAACTCCTCTTCTGTATTCACTAGGTGCTCTGCGGTTTATTCCAGGGCGTGATCCATGGTCTTCAGTGCAGTTAATATCCCGGACACGCAATGGACGCTTCCAATGCAAAGGTGGACAGAGTAAGTGTCCCATTTGTCCACAACAAAGACTCTGCCCCCAAAGGCTGTCATTTTCCATAGGAAGAAAACTGGTCAGCACCCATATCTGTGGGAATCAGAGGCTGTGCTGAGAGAACATCTCGGTGTCACCAACAAGAGGGCCGAGTCAGGTGACGGTTCTGGAGACTCGAGTCTGTCATCATCGCCACCTTTGCGGCTGTCTGTCCCCTTCCCATGCGTTCCCTTTAGGGGAGGCACCTACTGGACCCACATGTCATTCCCTGTCGTCAGCTCTCCCTCAAAGGCCCCCGTTAGCCCTGCCCCAGTGCTCCTTTGGCTCCCTTATAAATGAGCGTGTCACATGCCTCATGTTGTCCACCTACTCAGGTGTGCAGATGGGCGGACGGCTGAAGTTGCTGACAGCAAGCCGACAGCTCGAGGGGGTCCTGAGAGAGAATGCAAGGGGGGCTTCATGAACTCGGAGGCTGTTCTCCTTGAAACTCTTAGACAGTAAGGAAGTGGAAGCTCAGAGAGGTTAAGTTACTTGCTCACGGACACACAGCCAGCTAAGGTTAAAGGCAGAGCAGCCTGGAACCCAAGTTGCCCGACTTCCCACTCCCCAGGCTGATGTCCAGTGGGAGAGCCAGTAGCCCTTGTCCGTTAATGTGACAAAGCTTCTGATGACATCAGGTGTGTGTGACACCTTGGACCAAACACCGTGCTGCATCTCTCTTTAGCTTTCTCATCTGCTTCGTAGGAACTGCCTTCAAGTTTCCTCAGCGTGGACTTTTTTATTTTTCCAATGCACCCACTTCGCCAGCAGAGGGAGCTAACTACTACATTCCCGGATTAAATAATAAATGAGTCCTCTTAGTTTCTGAAATGACAGGGCAATCAAGGCTCATTTGGGGAAGGAGAGGTTGAGCTTTCGCTCTTTATCCAAATGATCTCTACCTGCTAAAAATGATGTATAATACATAAGGATCCAAAGTGATTAAAATCCTTATGAATTTAATCAGAAATTCACAGTTAACCACTATTTGCTTTGGTGCAAATTGATGTGGAATAACAATCATGTGTAGTTGCAATTTTTTTTTTTTTTAAACTTGTGGGAAATTTGCTGGCGATTGGTGGGGGGAAGTGCGGGGGAGGGGGGCCATTGAAAGGAGAGAAAAGAAGGAAGGAAGCAATTCAAAGGCGGTTCCCCCGAGGCCCCCAGTGCACGCACTTAGCAGTTTCATTGACGGCCTTTGTTCATAAATTTCAGGCCTTTTGCTATTTATTATTATGAACAATAGGAAATCCTAATCATAACTCCGATGTGTGCCGTCTACTCTGACGGAGCGGAGTTCTCCAGATTGTTTCTTACCTCCGAATCCTACTTGGGCTTGAAGCTCCCCCTCCCACCTTCTTCCATGCTTTCTTTCATTTTTTTTTTTTTTTTTTTTTTACTAAATTGTCTCATAAAATCAGACCACTGGATCCTTTCAAATACAGACAAATACTCAGCACAGAGAGCGACAGCTGCCCCTCTGCTTTGTTCCTCCCTCAAAAAAGCAAGACCTTCTCGAGAAGCAGAGGGGGGTCCCGGGTCAGGGGCCCCTCAGAGGAAAGAAAGGGCCAAATGAAGAACGGCTGGAGTAACCCTCACCATCCTTTCGGCGCTGGGGACTTTCTTGTAGAAGGTTTTTTCTGTGTCTCCGATCCACACCACGGAGGGCTGGAGCTGGTGGGCCACCTGCAAGGAGAAGGGAGGGTCTCGGTTGGAAAGGCAACTCGCTCTTGGGCATGCACTTGAGCCCCAGCCAACAGCATGACTTGACGGCTCCCTGTGATGGCTCTCGCGGGTGGCAGAGCCTGATGGGGCTCCACAGCACGCGCCACCGTACCCCTCCTCCCCTGCAGTGGGGGCACCACCGCGGCCTCCTCTCCCACCTTATGGACACCCTGGAGGGCTGCACATTCTATTCCAGGACGCTGAGCACCTCCACTTGATTTGGTTTGAAATAAACCAACGGTTTTCTGCTGCAAACAAACAGGGAATCGGGCCACGAGTTTTAATTACAGCCTCCTCGTCTGTTGCTCCCAGCTTTATTCAAGTTTGCTCATCGTGAGAAAAACCGTCTCAGCACAAGGGGCCCCCTGACGCCATTTGTTCGTTTCCGTGTGGCTGTGCCTTTGTGGCCAAGGTTTCGCCTGGAAAGTAGCTCTGAGCCGCTCCAGGGCGGGCTGGGGTCGGCAACAGCGCTGGGACTTACCCTGGGCCCGCGAATAATTGCCACACACCTAACGGTCTCTTCAAAGCGCCCCCATGAGAGCGAAGTTTGGGCGTTTTTGCAACAATTTGTGCTTTGTGCGAAATTGAGACAGATCAAAGCTGTCTCCAGCTACAGAGAATCCAGTGTTACGGACTCCTATTTTTATATTTCTTAAAACATCATTAAGGCAGCAGGCGTGATTTTTAAACCAAGACAGGCATTTAACAAACGATGGAAAAATCATCAGGAATGCTGTGGCCGTGCCTGGTCCCCCAGCATTATGTCCCAAGGGAAGCAGATTATGCACGTTCAAAGACAAAAGTGGATTTAACTGGATCCTGGTGCCAGTCCGACACCTGGGCTGGTGCAGTCATGGACCCCCCAACAGGGATGTTCAGAGAGGAATCAGTACCAGCCAACTACGGTTTGGCAGGCGTTACTTTTTAGACCCAGGACCACAGAGTTTAAGAATTCAGAATCGCAAGTTTTAATCCCAGTACTGAGGTGGCGTGGCATGGTGTGACAGTAACAATGAGTGCCAGCAGTTAGCGAGCAGCCGTGTGCCAGACCTGGGCCACACGCATCCACCTGGAGTCCCATGCATGGTCAGGGCCAGCACGGAGCCAGCACATCCTCCCCTCTGAGGACTTCACCTGCAATCACTTGTTCACCCTCACTGCTGTACTAGAAAGCAGGTACCATTATTATTATCCCTGTTCGTAGATGGGGAAACTGAGGCTCAGAGACGCTAAGTGACCTGTCCAGGGTCACACAGTTAGAAAGCGGCAGAAGCAGGCTGCAAGGCCGGGCTGATGGCTGCCGAGTCTGTGCTGGAAGCACGGCCACATCCACAGGTTCCCTCATTTGCTCAAGCCAGACACTTGGGTATCCGCCCTTGCCTCTCCAAGCCACATCTCACAATCCCAAAGTCTATCCATTTCCCTCCTAATCTCTTTCAACTCCATCAGTTAGCCCATTCTCCCAGTTCCTTACTTTAAGTCCCTCAACTTCTTTCCAACGTGGCCTAAAGTGTCACGGGGGCCACCTCCAAGGAACCATTGTTCCACCAAAGCTATTTTGAGTGTAAGTCAATATGACCCAGCTATCCCTCTACTGGGTATTTATCCAAAGAACTTGAAATCAACAATTCAAAGAGACTCATGCACCCCTATGTGCATTGCAGCATTAGTCACAATAGCCAGGACGGGGAAGCAACCCAAGTGCCCACCAATGGATGATTGGATAAAGAAGATGTGGCATATATATACCACGGGGTACTCCTCAGCCATAAAAAAGACAAAATTGTGCCATTTGGGACAATATGGATGGACCTTGAGGGTATTATGTTAGGTGAAATAAGCCAGACAAAGACAAGCACTGTGTGATTTCACTCACATGTGGAAGATAAACAAAGATGTGGATGAAGAGAACGGATTAGTGGTTACCAGAGGGGAAGGGGGTTGGTGGTAAAGGGGCACATAAGGATGGTGATGCAGAAAGACTAGACTATTGGTGGTGAGCACGATGCAGTCTATACAGAAACCGATATATAATAATGTACACCTGAAATTTACACAGTGTTATAAGCCAATATGACCTCAATAAAATAATTTTAAAAAAATCTTGCCTACTTCCAGCCCCCCAACAAAAGTAAGAAACGAGATACTGTCTGTAAAAGGTTTCCAGCTTCTTAGGCAAAAGATATTTTGTTTATAATAACAAAGGCAAGATCTTATTCTTTTCAGCCCCTCTTAAAAAAATCTTAGTTTTAGAACTGAAACCAGTGGAAAAACAATTTTCCCAGAAACAATTGTCTCCTGTCTTAGGCTGAACTGTGCTCTTGTCGATGCCACAGACCTCGCCTCTCCCATGGCCATCTGGCAAGCAGAGGATTTTCCATAGTTTTCATTTGTGCGCCTCTCTTCTCCCAATCCGGCTTTTCTTAATGGGAATCGCAGATGTGGGTACCAAGGACTTCAGTGGCACTTTTCCTCTTTCTGCTTTTAACAAAGTCAGCTGCCTGGATGGACTTGAGATACAGGAATCTTCTTAGCTGGGGATCCTTTTCAGACCAACAGTCTTATTTCTGGCACCTTGTTTAAAGTTGTTTTGAAAACCTGGCCCCACCGTTCCATTGAATGTGGAAAGTTAACCATTGTTCCCTGAACTTGATGCTCTTTCAGAGCGCATGGGGAATTCCACACTTCCTGTATTTTTCACACACACCTGTGCAGGAATTTCTTTCCCAGGCCCCGTCACCTGCTTCAGGGCCCACAGGGCTGTGTGGAGGACTCTGGCGGTGACGTGGTTTGGAAGTGCTCCATTATGATCAAATGAAACAGAAAACATTTCCCAAGAGAGTTCTTTCATGGTAACAATACGAGGAACGTTTATTTGCAAAGTGTCTTGGTATCTACGGCACCATTCTGCCCTCCCTCGCCACGTGCCACATACCATGCCAAGCACGTCCCACACCTTCCCCCCTTTTATACTTGAGGTCACTGAGGCAGAGAGAGGGGCAAGGAAAGTGCCCCACAAGTACCGGAGAAGTGTCAGACCCCGAATCAGACCTGGGTCTGCCCAACACCCCAGGCCTGTGCTGTGAACCAGGCAGCACGCTGCCATGTTGCGTGGGACATATAAGGCCTCTTCCAGAGCATCTCGTTACCCTTGACCTGTATCTTCCACCATCATCTTTCATTCCAGCAGGACGAACTCTAAAACTATCACTCTCTTGTCCTCCTGAGCCTGAATCTCTGATTTTCCTGACCTTCCTGAGTGGCCAGCTGGTCAGGGGACACCTGGTGACCGTGCTCAGTTCTGGGCAGAGAAGAGAGGCATGGAAAACTGGGCATTCCCAGGAGGAAAACCTCCTACCAGGAAGGACCGAAGGCACTGAGGCTCTTTTCTTTGGGTGAAAGAAGACTCAAGGGGGTAAGTTAACTGTTTTCAAATAGTTGAAAGACAGTCATAGGGAAGAAAGACTGGCTGTATTATTTTTGGCCCAGCATGTAGAATGAGAGCCATTCTCTCATCTCTTCCATCAAGAAATGTTTACAGAGGAGCGTTGACGCGCCAGACACTGAGCTAGGTGCCCGGGCCCCTGCCCTCAAGGAGCCCCCCAGTAGAAGAGGAGGCAGACGTGAGGCTGTGAGGGTGGCCTGGGGCTGCAGCCAACGATGGAGTGGAGCCATGGGAATGGATGGAGGGATTCCCAAGTAAAGGGGGAGAGTGGATGAGGGCACACGAGGGCTGGAGGTGGGACCACCAGGTGAAGACGTTGATGGGGTGGGGGGGGATGCTGAGAAGGAAGAGCAGCACCAAAGAGGACAAAGGGGCACAGAAGACAGAGCTGTCCTCAGAGCCCAGAGAAGACACAGGTGCAGGAAGGGAGTGGGCAGCGGCGGCCAGTGCTGGCCTGAGGGTCTGATGACCAGGAGGTCACTGGTGTTGTCTCAGGGCATGGAGGGGACAGAAGCCACGTGTCAGGGAGCTGAGGTACGAATGCAACAGAGACAGAGACAGAGACAGAGACAGAGACAGAGACAGAGAAAGGTCTTTCAGAAAGATGGGCAGCGCAGAGTTTGGAGATGGCGTGGGATGGGGAGGAAAGGGGGCAGAGATGACCTTGGAGATAAGAAGGGCTGGTCTTCCTTGCGCCATGGACCTTCTGCCACAGGCAGTGCCAGTGACACAAGGGACATTTGCCGATGCACCGGGGCTGAGCTCTGAAGACAGGTCTGCCAGAAATTCGGTCCTTTCTGACTGTTATTGCAAATTCATTAGTAAAGATTTCAGAATACATATGCAGACTGACTTCAACAACGCTCTTCACCCCCTCCATTGAGAACTTCCTATCTTTGCAGACTTTTTTCCGTATTTGCACAATTGAAATTGTTCCACATTCGCTGCTTTATATTCTTGTTCCCTTAATATGAAATTTCCTTCTCCAACATCATTTTAACATGCTGTCTCATAATTTATTGATCTAGCCCCTGTTTTTGAACACGTGGATGGTTTCTGCACTCTAACTAAACCACAGTGCTCAGAGCACTTTTGGGCACATGACTGGTCATTTCCTTAGAACACCACCAGAGTCACGAGAAGCTACAGGGTCGGCAGGCTGTGTGTTGTTCATGTTTTTATGTGTGTTGTCAACCTGCACCCCTGGGAGGTCTCAATTTATACTCCCTCCAGTCCTAAGAAGTGGATCTGGCTTCTACACTCTTCGCAACAAGTATTAGCAATAAAAAAAACCTCTTTGCTAATTTGTTAATGAAAAATGGTATCCTTTGCTCTTTTCATTTTCATTTAGCGATGAAAAGCCGTCATTTAAATTACTCACAGATAGTTTGAGGTCATGGGCAATTAAATGTAATTAATTCATAATTGAACTTTTCGGAAGTTACAAAAGGTAATTTACTTCAGCTGCCAGTAGAGGGCTCTTCAGTCCCAGCAAATATCGCTACAGGTTTTCAGT